GACACAGAACCTGAAGCAGGCTCCAGGCTCTGAGCTTTCAGCGCAGAGCCCCACATGGGGCTCGAACCCAGGAACTGTGAGATCATGACCTGAGCCAAAGTCAGACACTTAACCAACTGAGCCACCCATGTGCCCCAATTTTTAAATATCATGTGATGAATAGCACAAGTAAACTGGGTAGAATAAAAGAAAAATTCATTTACTCTAAAGGACTGTGATCTGTGCCATTAAAATGCTATTGGCAATGGGTAATTACCAAAGGAAGCTTAAGAAAGAGATTTGATCAAAGCTACGTGCTATGAACATTAATCTGTAGAATGTCTTGGAAGAGGGAGAATTAGGAACAAGACAGACCCCAAAAGAGACTACCATTCCTCTGGTCTAAAAACTGGAATAGTTTCCAGTGCTTCCTGAATTATGCGTGGCCTGGTTGGTATTAAACCCCTCCCAATGCAGTCAATACATTTTGATTTTCAGGGCGCCTGGGTGGCTCAGTCGGTTAAGCGTCCGACTTCTGCTCAGGTCATGATCTCACGGTTCGTGGGTTTGAGTCCCGCGTCGGGCTCTGTGCTGACAGCTAGCTCAGAGCCTGGAGCCTACTTCAGATTCTGTGTCTCCCTCTCTCTCTGGCCCTCCCCTGCTCATGCTGTCTCTCTCTCTTTCTCTCAGAAATAAATAAAAAACAGTAATAATTTAAAAATATAAGTAAATTTTGATTTTCTGTGTTCTTCCACACTTATAGAGGCTTTAGCTAAATTGGCCTAATTCCTGTTCCGAAACAAAACAAAAGTTGTATGTTTACAACTTCTTGACCGTTTTTTTCCTTTGCCTAACATGGCCCCCATCTCTAGCTATCAAATATTCATTCATTTCTTGGTTGGAGCTATTTTAAGGTTTGGAGATTGACTGGTAAGGTAAAAGCTGTTGACTTACAGCTTACAGAATTAGTCGTACAAATGAATAATTATACTTCAGTGTAATAGTTGTGGTGACAGAGCAAGAAGATCTATTATTGGAGGACCCTTGAGGAGATGTACCTTACCCTCCCCTTGGGGGATTGGTAGAAGGAAGATTTCTGGAAGACATATGTCTGTCCTAAGCCTGAGGATGAATAGGAGGTTGCTTGGCAGGTGTAGATAAGAAAGTAAGGAAAGATATTTCTGTCTGAGAGAACCAACTAAGTAAAGGCAATGAACTACAAAATAGGGAATATATTAGGGAAATGCAAGTAATTTGGTATTCCTAGAATATAAAATCTGCATGAAACTGGACACCCAGACAGTGGCCAAATGATGGGAAACCAGGTGTACTGCCTTAAGGAGTTTGCACTTACTCTATGAGGTAGTTGTATTAAAACACTCTTTTAGCAGAATCCTTTCCTGGTGGAAAAGCTCATGCAGAAGCCCTGTACGACAGATAAACTCGGAATTATGCACCCCAGAACTGCTTTCTTTTGCTGTTAGCATAATCTTGGTTTCTTGTGCTTGGCTGACTGTTTAATGTGTATGTACTCTGATTGAAATGGAAATTAATTCCTATGTAATTCTAAACAAAATGAAAGGTGATTTGGCAGACAAGATAGAGATGTAGGTTACATATATAATGTTTTCTGAGTAACCGGATTTATTTGTCCCATGTTGCTCTCCCTTGCCATGGATGGTTTGGAACTAACAAACAGGATGGGGAGTCAGAGATTCAATTTGACTTTGTTATTAATATAGCTTAGCTACCTGAGAGGCCATTTACTCCTTACCGTGTTCTACTTTCCCCATCTAAAATGGAATGCATTAAAGACCTCGAAGAACCCCCTGCCTCCCCTGAGGAAAAAGAGGATTTGGAAATACAGTGTAAGGACAGAGAGGTTAAAAAAAAAAAAAAAGGAAAAGAAAAATCCCTCTCATTTTATGGAACTAGGGAAGAGATATAATATTTAAGGACTAATTCAATGTAAACAAGCAAATGTGAACTAAATTAGGGCAATCAGAAAGGACAAAATTGCTTTTCTAAAATTGACTTTCTAAAACTGATTCTCTTTGACTATATTCTAAGACTTTGTGAACTCCAGCTTAGTTTATTAGTTCATTTGAAGATACTTGGAACATGATCCCTCTAATTTCCAAAGAGTAGATCAATATGTTTTAAAAATTATTCTCGGTAAGAATCTAGTTGATAGTGTTGTAAAAGTAAAATATTGCTGAGATATGCAGGTTTCAAATAGAAGTCAACACGATTCTCCCTCAAGTCCTAAGTGAGATCTCTTAGGTGAAAAAAGGTGGTTTTATTAGGTGGGGACAGGACCTGTGGACAGAAAGCTGCACTGGGGTTGTGACGGGTGACTGATTATATATACTTTCACATTGGGAGCAGTTCGGGACAGCACAAGCCTCCAAGGTATTTTGGAAACAAGGTTTCCAGGATCCTGAGGGGGCCAGCTGTTGTTAGGAAAAGGTCATTTATGATTGATTAGTAGAAGCTCAGTCATTAGACCCTTCAGATGTGTATCAGTGAGCCATATGCTTGGAGGATGATTGCCAACCTATATCTTGGGGGGTGGAGATAAAGGAAGTTTCCAAAGGAATTTTTATATGTTAAAGTAGACTTACGGGATCCTGGAAGTTGGTGTAATGTTAAGCCAAGATTGCCTTTTGCCCTTAGCAAAGTGTCATCATCAAGGCAGCTGAGTTCCTAAAGGAATGTCACTCTGCCTGTCTCAGTGGACTGTAAGGTGTTTTGTTTATTTATTTTTTTTGAGATAGAGAGAGTGTGTGCACTGAAGTGGGGAAGGGGCAGAAAGAGAGGAAGAGAGAGAATCCCAAGCAGGCTCCACATGGAGCTCCATCCCATAAACCATGAGATCATGACTTGAGCCCAAATCAAGAGTCGGACACTCAAATGACAGAGACACTCAGGCACCTCGATGAGCTGTAAGTTGTAAGGAAATTTAATGTTCTTTACTTTTGCCTCTGTTTCTCACATCAGTATTGTAAGTGAAATTTCAATCATATGTTACATTTCAAGAGTGGGAAATGAAGAATCGTTATGAAACCTTTGAGAAAATAGTTGTGTGAGTGAATTTTAGACCCAAATAAGTTTGGTATATTTTATTTTTCTCTTCCTTAGTTTTGTTAGAGACAAAATATATGATAGTAGAAACCATTTCTTTCTTTTTCTTGGATATGGCCTTTATAATTTCTACAGAAAAGAACATAATCGGTCCTTCCTTCCTAAAATATGAAAATAACTACTGCCTTTTTTCTGTGTGGATTACGCCTTCATTATTCTGATAATAGGCTTTTTTAGTCCTATAACAAAAATGGTTGTGTTTATTTAGATAAGTACATCTGTTTGTTCAAAGTTTCAAACTATTTTCCCCTATTCTATCCTGCTTTGAAGGCAGGATATCTTTGCCTTTCTTACTAAGAGGAAGCTAATCTAACTTCTTGGTACTGCTACCCTTATAATTATTTAAGTAGAGATAATATAATTTCCATCCTGAAAGGGATGGATGATTTAGATTACTGTTTGTAAAGTCTTATATTACAGTGTACTTTTGGAAGAGTTCATGTCCTTATTGATGCCATTATTTGGTCTCCCCTTATTTTTTTTTAGAATTTTTCTTAATTCTACCTTGTGGCTTCCCAGTGTGCAAGTAGTAGCCATAGTTACGGTAATGAGGAAATGGGGGAATTTTGTGTCCTTTAAAGAGTGTGCAGACTTTTAGTTCTTAGGAAAACATTAGGATGTTGCTCTTCAGATTCTCAGTAACGGAGAGAGTTTTCCTTGCTGTCATCCCTTTGACCCCAGGCATAAGAGTTGAGTTACCGAGGTGAGGCAGGAGGAATATAAAGTTAAGCATATAAAGGCATATAAAGTTAAGCCTGTATCTATCCCAATTTTGCTGGGTCAGTTGATGTGTCCACTATAATCATTTGGAGAAATAAATTATTCTTCATCTATTAAAAGGGATGATGATAATAATGTCTCCCTCATAATGTCACACAGGTAAATTCCTTAGCTTTGCACAAAGTAAGAGCTTCCTGCTAATCATTATTATTGAAATTTGTTGAAATTTCAATATTGGAGCCAGAAGAAATTAGAAACTGTGCTTGATTACTGACATTTTAAGATGTTACCAATATTATTGGTAATTCTGATAAAACTTCCTGGCAAAATGTCTTTGTGAAAAGCTTTTGCCCTTTGCCACTAAATGAAAATGATTTGATCTTTTAGCATATTACCAAAAAAAGGAGGGGAGGGGGGAACTTATCATCATCCTATAACTCTACAATGATGACCTGTGAGTAAGTTTTAAAATAGTTATTGGTATTAAAGATCTTTTGTTCCATTCATAGTTCTTATTCCACATATACAAACAAACTTGATATTTTTCTGAAATTATGCCAGGAAGAAAATTTTTAGGATTTTAAAAATAAATCTCACTTTTAGAAGAAAATATGCCGTTTTATATAAGTGTCTATGCAAGTCTCCAGTGAAATGTGTTTTATTAACTATCTCTTAATGCTTAATTATAAAACTGAAGAAAAGTTGGATGATTTTACTATTTTTATCAGCAAAACCTTCTTTAAATTGAGTTTTAGAGCTAATTTTTTCTGGCCAGCTTTTACTTCTGTTTACCTTATTGAGCATTGGTCAGAATTGGAACTTGTGAACTAGTTTCTGATATAAAAGAATCTTGTGTGGGTGTTCTGTTTTCTGGGTTCCCAAAGCAGGTATACACTTGGATATGACTTGTGCGAACTTCCGGGAAGCTAATTTACGTACTCACCTTTCCTGCTCTTTCAGGTTTCTTTTTAAAGAAAAACTTCCTGACAAGGGATGAGTAATATCTTACAATTATAAATACTTGATTTCTACATTTTGTCTGCTTTGCTCTAATGATTACAGACTTTTGTCTTTATTAGCTAAAAATATTCCACCCGAAGGTAGTTATGGCAAGTTCACTATTAAGTTTCATCTCTTTTTTTCTTTTGGTTAACTAGATCCCTGTGGAGGGTGGGCAGGAGCAGCAGACAGATTCCACCAAAGGGCGATGTCTGAGAAGAACCGTCAGTGTCCCTTCCGAGGGTCAGTTTCCTGAATATCCACCAGAGGGCACCACTAAACTGGGTAAGCTAATCAAAGGAAAAAATACCTAGCTTTTAGCTGGTAATTTATGGACTTGTTATTGAGTGTTAGAATAACACAAAACATCCGGTGTTTCCTGTTAAGTAAGTGCGATAAAATACAGTATGTTAACATAGAGTTAGTGATCATTAGAAAGTTCTGTTGTTTTTACTACCAGGTGACAACAAAGTTATTTTACAGAGCTAAAATTTGTCTGAATGCTAGTACTGTTGCTATACAGTCCTAAGCAGAATATTGTTTCTGAGTTTACTCCTTGACTTTAAATTTTGAAAGAGCCTTAAGTGATCTTGTGGAAGCACTGAGATTCACTGGGGAAGCCAGCATTGTGTGGAAGCTTGGTATTGAGTGGTTTGTGTCCTGTTCACCCAGCTACTGATGTTGCCTTATATAATGTCAGATCAGGCTAATTTAGCTGAGCTAATTTTACATGTCCCACATAAGTTATATTCGTGGTTGGAGTGGGTGACCGTAGAGAGAAATGAAAAAAAACAAACAAACCCAAAAAACCCCCACAAAAAAACTGAACCCACTTGAGTTGTTATACACTAAAGAATTAATGTCAATATCAAAACACTATCAAATATTTTGCACTGTTTCCGACCAAGTGTATTCTGTTTGATGTTTCATGTGCTTACCAGGAGATATTTAGATTATTAAATAGGTCAGGTAGTTCTAAGGAAACATAATTAAGATTAAATAAATTGACAAAAGAATGTGAAAAGTAGGGAGTGCTTTGCATTGTTGTATTATTATTATTATTATTATTATTATTATTATTATTTGCTTAGTGAACCTGGACATTAAGTCCTAGACATCTGACAGGTTGATAGTAGAGACTCATTTCTGGTCTCTATGTTGTGTAATATGGATAATTCTGCAGTTTTGGTTATATTTTTGGAAATCAGCATTTGGTTTTTTGGTTTGTTTTTGCCCTCTTCTTTATTTCTCGTCATTTTCTAAATGGAACTCAGAACTCTTGGTCAGAATCTGAATCCTTTATTTATTAGTATTTTTTTTTATCCTGTAACAGTTGTTGCTTTTCTAAAACTTAGTCAAGTGAGCAAATACTTTTCTCTAAGGAGTCACGCTTGAAGAAATCAAGATTTCCTTTCACCTTATTTCCACTGTACTTCTTTAGCATGTGTTCAAACCAGTTTAAATGTGAGCCTAAGTTACATTGCAAACCTGTTGGGGTGTAACCATTTTATAGCCTATTTATATTTCATGTACAGGTTCTATGTGGCTTGGACTAGCTCAGCGTCACCTCCTTTCACCTCTTGCTGTCATTATTTGTAATGTTATGTTGACGACTCTCTTTGCCACTTCTGTACAAACCTTTGGCTGTTGAAGCTTTGACCCACAAAAGTCACTTGATTTTGAAGAAGTGTAATCATAGTCTCAAATATTATTACAGTTTTATAGAAGAGTAAATTATATAATAATTCTTAAAAAGTCTCCACCATCCCAGGTTCTGGTCCCAAAGATAAACTCAGATGAGTGGCCAAGGTGTCAAGCCCAGAGCCAACCTTCTACCTCTGCCCTTGACTACAAGTGTGGTAGACTCATGGCATCCATAATCATTTTTGGAGTGGATGTCCTGAGTTAGCACTGGAAGCTATTGCTAATAAGTACCAGAGGGGACAAAAACTACTTTTAGAGCCATTCTTCCTTACATGCCTGCTTAATGTTGAATTGGATAATTATTCTATTTTTGTCTCTTAGTGATTTGTCTTTAGGCAAAATTTTCTGCTGTCAGATAGTTAATTGAGTAATTGCTGTATATGTAATGTTCTGTGCCAATCCGTAAGAATGAAAAGAGATATAAAATAAGATTTCTGCCTTTAGAAGATTCTTATGTTATTAGGAAGGTAGATTACTGATGACTAATCACAGTACATATTATTATTGTGGCATATTGTGTGGCTTTTATTTTTTATTTTTAAAAAATCCTTTCGTTTATGCAGCAAAAACTATGTGCCAGATGCTGTTCTAGGCCCTCAAAATATAACAGTGAAAAATTAGACAAAAATCTGTCCTTTTGTGGAGCTTACATTCTATTGAGGAGTGAAAGATAATAAGCAAGAGTAATAAATGGAATATCTACTGTGCTAGATGGTGATAAGTACAAAGAAAAAATAAAGTAGGGAATGGGCACAGGAAGTTGCAAGGAGGTATAATTTTAGCAAAGGGGACCAAGGAATGCCTCTTGTTGAGTGACATTTGAGTACAGATCTGATAAAATAATAAATCAGCATATAAATACTTGAGGGTGAGAGGTTCTGCCCAGAGGATCAGCTAGTATCATATAGGACTATGCTTGGGCTGTTCTGGGAACAGCATACATGGCAGCGAGTCTGGCCTGGAACGAACAAGGGGAGAGTGGAGTAGAGGCCATCACTGAGCTCTTTGGCAAGCAGATCATGATGGTCTTGTAGGTCATCATAAGCGTGTTGGCCAACTCTGTGAGATGGGCAACACTTGACTTCCAACAAAATTTCCTTGTTGGATTGGAAGTGGGAAATAAAAAACAGAAGAGTGAAGATTTTTGGCTAGAGCAGCTAGAGGAATGAGGTTTTTATTTCTTAAAATGGGAAAGACTAGGAGAAGCACACCTGAAAGTGGGATTGACTGGGAATTCAGTTTTGGACATACTGAGTTTGAGGGTCTTATTAGACACCCAAGTGGAAATATGTGAGTCTGGAAATCAAGAGGGAGGTACAGATTGGACAAAGAAATGTAGTCCTTTGGGGGCGCCTGGTTGGTTAAGGTTCCAACTCTTGATTTTGGCTCAAGGTCATAATCTCACGGTTTGTGAGATCAGGCACCGCATCAGGCTCTCTGCTGACATCGTGGAGCCTGCTTAGGATTTTCTCTCTCCCTCTCTCTCTGCCCAGTCCTCCCTCTCTCCCTCCCCCCACCTCTCAAAGTAAATAAGTAAATAGGAAGGAAGGAGGGAGGGAGGGAGGGAGGGAGGAAGGAAGGAAGGAAGGAAGGAAAGAAATGGTAGGCCTTTAGCAAATAGATGGCATTCAAAGTGGCGAAAGAAAGAAAGAAAGAAAGAAAAGAAAGAGGAGAAAAGAAAAGAAAGAAAGAAATTGTAGGCCTTTAGCAAATAGATGGTATTCAAAGCCATGAAATTAAATGAAACCACCAGGGAAACGTGTGTAGGTAGAAGAGAGAAGTCCAAGACTCAGCCCTGGAACAACATTTAGAGGTTAGGAAGATGAGAAAGGACAGACCAGAAAAGAAGACTGAAAATCCAGAGTTTTGTTTCCAGATAAGACAGTTGAGTCAAGTGTGAATGGGGAAACCTGGTTTTTACATGGTTCTTGGCACTTTGCAAGCTCTAGATTCTCTTTATTCTTCTCCAGTAGAGGAACCCCAAACCCTGATCAATTTTTGCAGATACCATATAAAATAGTATACATTTTGATTTCAGTATGAGGCCATCATCTAGGGCCACTCATGAAAAACATGCACTTTTTACTGCAGAGAATCTATGACAGAGAGGAGCTTTCTGAATGTACAGGGTTTGTGAAGAATTTATGGTGGCTGCCAGCTTACTGTACATCAGAGATTTCAGACTGGTTAAAAAACTTGTGAATGTAAAAGGATGGGAAGGCCCATATTTGTGTCTCACACATTGTTTAACATGAGCAAATTTATACTGATGAGAACCTAATAAATGTCAAAAACTTAGCAAAAAAAGCGTGTATGGGGTATGGGGCCGCAGAGTGGGGAGTGGTAAGCACAGAAAGTGCTTCTCACTCGGGACTTCTCAGACTCTTGCATTCAGCAGTTTACAGATCACCCAAGATACTACAATTTATATATTCACTGGCATTTGACACGGATTTTGAGACCAAATTCTTGCCTGCTGATAATGTGATGTTTTCTTAAGGCATATGAACATCATGTGTAAAGGACCCATCTCCAGATTTAGAAAACCTAGAAAAAACTACTTACCCCTGGTGACAATATCCAGATTTTAATTTATTCATCAAAAAAAGAGTTTTCAAATTCAAACTATGCAAAGCATGATTTCCTGAATTTTCTAGAGGAAATTATTTCCTCAGTTAGTAGTGTCTTTGCATACTAACAATATTGGGAGGTATGTAAATGAACCGCATGAGCTAGAACTAGTAAATATTTAATTTTCAAGATTAATTTTCAATATTAAAGGTAACCTACATGAATTCAACTTAAAAAAAGCCATCAAACACCATCAAATGAGAACACTGTGAAATAGGGAAAAGGGGACGGCTGAGCAGGGACAGCAGTTCGGGGAAGTGTATGTTTATGGAAGAAGTGTGTCTCCTCCTGCGTGTTGTCTGCCTCCCAGCACACTGCTGAATTGGGACTCTGTCCATTCCGTCTGCGGCATTTCTCTGACGTGCCAGTAAGGTTGGTGCTCTAGAATGTTCAAATGGGCAAAGCAAAATTGGAGCCTGAAATGAGCGAGAATATTTGTTTGCAGCTAACATCATAAACGTGATAAACATGACGTAAACAGAAACATAACAGAAAAGCTGACTTAATTAGAAAATGCCAAGTATCTATAACTCTCTGCTTTCTCAGTTCTCAAACAGAAGGTTCAAACTGAAATGGCAGATTCAAAGCCTTACATCTGGTAACTCAAAGCTGCAAGTCTCATGCCTCTATTTTATTATATTACGATAAAATCTTAGAGTTACCCTATGGTCTCACTCACAAAATCTGTGTTTTTTTTTTTAAATGTTTTTTTAAATTTATTTCTGAGAGAGAGAGAGAGAGAGCAGGGAAGGGTCAGAGAGAGAGGGAGACACAGAATCTGAAGCAGGCTCCAGGCTCTGAGCTGTCAGCACAGAGCCCAACGCGGGGCTCAAACCCATGAACCGTGAGATCATGACTTGAGCCGAAGTCGGACATTTAACCAACTGAGCCACCCAGACGCCCCCAAATCTCTGGATTTTTAAAAAGCTGTGCCTGTGATGAACAGATTT